CTTCTATAAGGACATGGCCAACGCTCCATGCTGGACTGGTGCCCCGGACTACCACGTTGTGGAGAGAAAAGTAAAAAAGCTAGCTGCCCGCAGAGCCGAACGGGATCCTGCGGAGGAGACGGACGCTCCAGCAGAAAAGGAGGAGAGAAAGAGAAGAATGATGCAAAAGCGATGGAGAAAAATAGATGGAGTGGGTCGCTATTGGCTAGACCAGAGGAAGATGGGGAGACAGAAGGTAGGGAAGGGGACCATGATGGGTTTCATACGTGGAGTCTGGGGCATCTGTATACTAGTGCCTCCATTGTACATGCCCTAAGAGACTCAGTTGGTGATGATGATGTGTCTGCCTTCTGTCATTTCTGACCGTCAGATCTAACAGTTGTGATGTAAGTTGTGGCATTTTTGCAACAAGACCCTATTTCTCTGCTGCAATTTGCAATTTCTGACAAGTGCTGCCAATATATATGGCCACTGGCTTGATGGAATACCAAATACGTTTAGCACGCTAATACGGGTGGGAGCGGCTGCCTTACTATGGTCGCTTTGGCTATGTAGAAACGATTGTGTTTCTAATGGCAAAAAATATTCTTCTATGCAAGTTATTTACCGTTGTACGCACTGGCTCCGTACGTGGTATATTATGCACCGAATGAAGTACCAACGTTGTTCAAGGCGGTGAGTATGCGGTTGGAGTGGGTGACCATGGAGGTTTTTACCAACATGGATGGCAGTATAATCTCTGAATTAGACCACCTTCTCCGTCGACATAGGCATAGTTTCGGCCTCATATATATGGCTTTACTATTGCCACTTTGTCATTTTCATACTTTTTGCCAGACTGTTCATGTGATGGATGTGTGCATCTTTGTAAGTTATTCTAGTGCCACCCCTAGTTGGTTTTGGAGTATTGACGACAAACGTGGTTGAGGGACTAATGTGTTTGCGAGAATTGCAGGTTAACACTGGTAATGTCCCTCATTGATTCGGTTTACCTACCAGAGATGACCCCTAAAAATGTGTGAAGACATTGAAGACAATGGTGGTTCGTGAAGACATTCACAACGAAGACTATGACATGTGAAGCTATTCACTTGAAGACTATGGAGTGTGAAGACATAGTTGTTTCGTAGTTTCCTTTTTCTTCTTATTGAGTCATAGGAACCACCGTACTGTTAAGTGGGGTCCAATTGAACAAAGTCAGAGTGACTGAAGTGATGCTCAACCAAATCCAATGTCTTCGAGCGAAGACAATGAGAGCAAATCTTATCCAGAACTGGATGAGTCAGCTTTGCTTGTAGCCCAAGCCAAGCTGTCGAGTGTGTTTGAAATCTGACCGTTGGACACGTGTTGGTTCCTTAGTGACCCAGGGTCATTTCGAACATATTAGGTCGGGTTGCCTCCTGGCTATAAATAGCCCACCCCTACACCATAAATTGGGGCTGCTCAGAGTTAGTGCACGGCTTTTGTCGTTTGAGAGCAACCCACCTTCGAAGCATTTGAGAGAGAAATCCTTGCGAGGACAAAGCCCAAAATACCCAGAGCCAAAGAGTGTTAGGCATCACTGAAGTCTTTCTGTCTGCATGATCTGAAGACTTGTTACACTTGAGGACTGTGAATCCTCCAGCCGGTTAGGCGTCGCGTTCTGAGCATCCAAGAGTCATTATGGATTGCCGGTGAACGAAGTCTGTGAAGGTTTGGAAGTCTACCTCGAAGACTTACCAGAGTGTTTGGGCGAGGACTGGGTGTCCTTAGCTCAAGGGGAATAAGGTGAAGACACGGTTTTCTGAGTTAAATCTCAGCGTCCCTAACCAGACATACAGTTGTCACAGCAACTGGAACTGGTCTACTAAATCTTTGTCTTCGTCAAGCTACTGGTTCTATCCTCTACTCTCCTTACTTTACAGTTGTCTTCGTGAAGTCATTGCTCGCCTGTCTGATCTGTTTGACTTCACACTGTGAAGACTATTATCTGTTTAGCTTCGTACTATCTACCTTTCTGATCCTGTCTACCTAGTTGCAATTAGTCTTCATGCTTTCATTATAGTGTATGTTAGACTAATGCTTGCCTAGTGTAGCTTTCATTCCGCTGCTTAATATATAGGCTCAGTTTACCTATTTGTCTTCAAAGCCACCGTGTTTTGAAGACATTCATAAAAATCTCCTATTCACCCCCACCCCCTCTAGTCGATAACTAGCACTTTTAATTGGTATCAGAGCAAGGTACTCCCTTGTTCTGTGTGATTCGGTTTAACCACCTGGAGTCTTACCTATGTCGACTGCATGGATAATCAAGGTCTGCGCTGCATGTCCTATTTTTGATGGTCAAGATTATCCCAAATGGAAAGTAATGATGAAGAAGCGCCTCCTTGCCATGAACAGTGAACTGCGGACCGTCATAGAGATTGGTCTCACCGATTTATGCAAGATGGCGGACGCTGACGACATTTGAAAGTACACTCGTCTGGATATCACGGCTAAGGATATCATATGCTCATGTCTATCCAATGACGAGTTCAGGCGCATCATGCATCTTTGTAATGCGAAGCTTATCTGGGACCGGATTTCTCATGTCTATGAGGGTCATCGAACCCGTCAAGACCCGTGGTTCTGCGAGTTCAAAGAATCTCTTAAAACGATGTCTTTCGAACCCGAGCCATTTGATCAAAACTACTGCCTCATGGCACGTAGTGTCAAGGTAACCTTTGGTGATTCTAAACCTAGATATAAGACACTTGCTAAAATTGCAACTGAGCAACAAACTTCTATGGAACATATTCAAAAGCTGCTAGACAAAAACGATGACATGTTGGACGCGGAAATGATTGAACTCAATCCTTAATTGAAGATACTAAAAGTCTTCGCGTTAGGTACGAAGATCTTGAAAGTCGTCATGAAACTCTCCCAGCCTCTCATGAGAAGCTCTCCTATGATTATCTTCAAAGGAAGCAGGATCTAGAGAAACTGAGTGCGTATCATGAAGATCTTCAAAAAGAGAACGATTCACTACTTGCCCAACAGATCAGTACCACTCAGGTAGAATTTGTTCCACCATGCTTAAAGTGTCTTGAGCGCGATAATGTTGTCTCTGTTGCTGAATGTTCTACTGCTTCTGATGTTGCAATATCTTCAACTACTGATGTAGTAACTAAACCCTCCACTGAGGATGCCACTATTATTGCTGATGAGAATTCTAGGTTGAAGACATTGCTTGAGACCGGCATGTACAAAAGCCTCAAAGGGCATCAAACTTTGTGCGATGTCCTGAAGAAACAGATTCTGAACCGAAACCCTAGGAAAGTGGGTGTTGGGTTCGAGAGGAAAATGAACGTTGATGGTTCATATTGGATGCCTGAGCAGTACCCCAAAACCACCTGGGTTGCTGCTAAGGATCCTTCAGTGGACCCATCTACTTTATCTGGCTTCACTTGTGCTAACTCAATTATCATTGATGAATTCTTTGATGCAAATTATAAACTATTTAGGAATCAGAATGTGAAGTGTTTGCCAGGTACATTGGTACTATCTGCAGGAATGGGTCACCCCAGAAGAAGATCTGGGTGCCCGAAAGCTGTCTTGAGAAGCTTCCCGTGAATTTCATCATGACGCCACCTGGGAAGAAGACAAAAACCCCGACCAAAGGCGTCATATGGTCCAAAGGCTTCATACAGACATAGGACCACTCATGGTCACCCTAACGCCAATGTTTTGCAAGAGAATCGCTATGAGACTCATGAATATGAGTGTGTTTCATCTAACCGTTATGTTCACAAAACTAAGAACTTCTCTGCATATTCTTATGAGTATTATTATCCTCCTGCGAAGCTATTTGCTATGGCTCCCAAGCCAAAGTTCTCAGATGCTGCACTTAGACTCATTGCTTCTAAGCCACCCATGAATTCTAAGCCACCCCTGAAGATGTGGGTGGTTAAGAAGAATTAACTTCTCTTGCAGGGAAAGGTCTGCAGCTGGAAAGCAAAATCTTCTAACGATAATGTTGGAGACCTAAAACATCTTGTGGGACGCAAGATAAAATGCTCCAATGGTCTTATCATGTATTTCGTCCCAGGGTTCCTTGACTAGCATCCTATCATGCCTAACCAGAATTTAAACTTTGATAATATGCTTGTTCGCCACATGTTTCTACTTCACAATACTCTTGGTGAAGCATATCCCGCTAACTGCACTGTAGGGTACAACTCCGAAAGCCACTGAATGGATTATGGACAGAGGCTACACCAACCACATGACTGGTGATCGAAGTCTTCTTATGGATTCAAC